GCTAAATGTATCAAAAGCATGTCTATGTAATATTAGAATTTTCTGAAACAATGAATTTTGGTTTTTCATTTTTTTCCCGTGTAAGAGGTTTTTATTTAATAGAATTTTTGGACAAAAAAAATCGCAATATATCACAATATATTGCCTTGCTTATAGTTTTGCAATATATCGAGATATATTGTATCGTGACTCCTCTGTCATGACATGTATCGTATCGCCAAATTCTTGCCAATACACAGCCCTAATGATCACACTGAAACATTATTTTACAAGCTTTAGATGCTTTTATCTCAACTGGTCCCATAATCATAAACCAACAGAGGTATATAGAAACATTTACTTCTTTACAGTAGTTTTTAAGGATTTGTAATTTTACCAATAGTTTTTGAATGGCTATTTTTCCATAATTTTTACTTTTATTTTGTTACATTTTAAAGCTAAAAATGCCACTTTTACTTCTTTACCTTAAAATTTAACACCTAGTAACTCATTACAAAATTAAATATGTTTGAACTCATCATAAAATATGGTTATGCGCTCTAAAAAAATGAAGTGTTGAATTTACTCAACAAAGTCATGTCAGTTGGCTCCACTAAGTTGAGTAAATTGAGCAAAGAACATACATATATCGCTCAATTTACTCAACCTGAATTAGTGGAACCCGTTTGGTGCAGTAAATTCTATAGTTTATTTCTTAGAGTGTGTGTAAAAGTACTTTTACTTTTGTTTTCCCAGTTTTTGTGAACAGTTTTCTGACTTTTACTTGAGTAGTTTTTCTCATCAGTGAAATTTATTTTTACCAAAGTCCTTTTCTGTTCGTGTAATTTTACTTTTACTTAGTTATTTTTCTCAAGTACTTTATGGACCTCTGTAAACCAATGCGTTTGTGTTTTCAAGGTGTGGAAAACTCATACATGAGGTTTATGATGTGGTCATTTGGGATAGTGGTAAAAATATAAAAATAAATCTAAATGAGCGAGGTTAATAATTCAAGCTTTACAAAAAGAAGATGAAAGTCAGAAAAGTTTTATATGTTCTGTGGACAAAAACAGTTGAAACAATGCTTGAGTATTTGTAAAGAACTGGGGACCTCCAGTGGATGAAAAAGGATAAATGTTGCTGTCATTATTTTCACTCCTAATAATTTTATTTCTGTGGTGTTTTTTAGTATTGATTTGTTTTTTTTTTTGTTTTTGTTTTTGGTTTATGCAAAGCACCTGGTGGGTTAGAGAGGAACTTCAGAGTCGTGTGGTTGTTCAGTGGTCCCCACATGTGGTCGTTTCAACCAGCAGTTCCCGCTCGACTAAACAAAGTTTAGGTTCCCACTTTTCTTATCTGTCTTTAGTTTTAATAAAACGTCCTCCCCTCAAAGTAGCCGTGTGACCCACAAGATAAAGGTGCACTGCACGGCACAAAGGAAACTGATTGTATCTGAACAGCCACAGTGAGAAGGAGTGACGTGGAACTGCAGTGTTCTGCCTCACTTCTTGCTTTCAGTCACCTTATGTGAACTGTGAGAAAGTTCAACATGTTTCTGGTTCAGAAGATCAGAAACAAGTTATTTTGAGGGCCGAACACAACGCTTCACATTGTGACGAGATTTCTTTTTCTCTTATTTATGTTATTTTTTTTAGTTTTTTATAGCTTTTTCTCTATTTTATTTGGTTTGCATTGTCAGATGACTTTAGATGTTTAAAAAATAAATCTAATTTCATCTACAAAAAGTATGACTTTTATAATACTGGTATAAATGTACAATAAACAGTAGTTTTAGAGCAAWTTTTAAGCATTATGTTGTAAACAAATATGTGACCCATCACATCGACACGAGGATTAAGTCCAATAGAGAAATGTGGAGAATTAGGCAGATGTAGGGTTTTGATTTAAACAAGTGCAAAAAATTGCATTTTGTCAAAAATATGAATTAATGTCTTATCAATGTATCAATTGAATGAAATATCTAAAATATAATCCTAAAAAAAWTTTGAAGCATTTTTTTAGCAGTAGCATTAAAAAACCTGATTTTGAAGGAAAATGCCCTAAATTTTGAATTTTTCCCTGTGAGCAATGTTTTTGTTTCTTTCTGACAGGGAAACTTAATATACAAATACTATTTGAGGTTTCCTCTTTATATTGACATCAAATATTACTCAATACATTTACATAAAATTAGGATTCAGACCAAACTGTAATGTATTATTGTAACCAACAAGACAAATTACTGTGCGTCATATCTCTGGATAAGCTTGTGATGATCCAGGTATCAAAATGTAGCTTTTAAAGCCAGGAATCTGACGATGTAGTTAGGGCGTTTTGACCAAATTTGACTTAATCCTCATTTTGAAATGACGGGTCACATATGTGTTACATATATRTTAAAGGTTATTTATGACAAAGTTTACTATCACGTTATTTTATTTCAAAATCAGTTCAGTCATTTAAAACTGTTTGATACACTCTAAACTTTTTGGGTGAACAAAATAAGTTTACAAAAAATTAGAATAAAAATCTTCTCTAAGCAAAGATGAACATACTTAGAAACAAAATGACAAAAGATTGTCTTTATAGTTTAATGAGTACACACTGAATTAATAAGCAAATGTTTCACAACCATGGTTATACTCTGTATGAGTTTAAAAATACAAAATAATAATAGTAAAATAAAACAAATGTTTTACAAAAGTACATAATATCTTTATGTTCAGTCTTCTAAATGAGTGAAAATGGGCCACTTCTATAAATGGCTTGGATTGTACACAAAGATAAGTGGTTTAAAACAAACCCAAATGTTAACAGACTTTTTTTTGAAGGTACACAGATTTTATAGAGAAATCTCCACAGATCCACTCACTGAACACAAGTTTTAACTGCCTGACAAAAAACACAAAGTAAAGCTTAAAAATAAGTCCAGCAGCTGATTGAAATGAACATAAATGAGAACATCACAGATGAATGTTTTACTATTAACTGGAATGTGTGCAGACAGGCTGAGGAAGTCAGAAAAGGTTTTAATGTTTAATCTTTTCAATTCTTAGATCAAACAATGTATTTTTTTCAGTACCTTGTCACTAAACAAAATAAAATGTTGCACTAATAATGATTAAAAATAGTGACAAAGGAAATCAAGCATGCACAAAAGCAGAAAGAACAGCTATTTTGATGTCAACGAACCAAATGTTGRATAGAATGTCCTGGTGCAGAGTAATTAATTTGAATAACTTGAACTCAACAAAGTAAATATGGCTCTAAGAAGTTCTGGATTTTAWAAGTGCTTTACAATAATAACAATTAGGAAAATCTTTTTTTCCTCAACATATTTTATTTTGTTTTATTTTTTACATGTGGGTGCTATTATATCATTGCTTAGACCAATAAATTTGTAAAGATTCATAAATTTATGCAGAACAACAAATGAAAGCATATTATGTTTATCTAGCATAATATGATTTTATATAATATGCTTTGGGGGGTGTTTATGCACAATTTCAATTTTTTTTTAGCTTTATATCATGTTATAAAGTCATTCCATCATCAAACACACACCCAGAGTGTTGCTTTGACTCATTCACGCATGTTTGAGAAATCCTTGAATCTCCTGTGGCCATGTGGAGCTGCCTCAATGCTTGCAGGTACAAAGCTCCGCCTACTTACACAAAACTCCTCCCCTGGAGCTCAGTTTGCAGTCGAGCTCCCGCCCCACAGAGCACCCCTCCCCTGAAACATTGTTGTGAAGACGTGCTGAAGTGGGAGTGTCAGAAACGGTAGGAGGTTCGTAAAGAGACAGAGGCCAATTTCAAGGTGTTTAGATAGACTATGATGCAAAGTCAAATTTATTTYTGATATATACTGCATTTTCATAACAACTGTAGTTCATAGTGGTACAGAACTGAACTATGTGCCTGGAAAATACATACAGTAATACTCTCCCCTTTTAAGAATATCATAGTACTGTAAGATAAAAAATAACGTCCTGGAAATGAGTTAAGCSTTTCGTAAAGGACACTGTTATGCACTGAAGGTTGACACGTTGTTGGAGCCCTCTGAGGTCCTAAAGCCTGAGATGCAGATGTCAGATGTCCCACGTGACGAGCGAGCAGAGTTTATGTACTTTTTGCTGAAGCACCAAAAGTCTGATAATATTTGTTTGAAATGGCTCCTGAACTTCACGCCRATGAAGGCGTACAGGATGGGGTTGAGGCAGCAGTGGAGGTAGGCCACCGTCCTGGAGGCAGCCAGAACTCGGAGTTTCGTTTGTTCTGCTGAGCAGCTTCTCTCCTTAAARAGAGACGTGATGTGCATCAGCAGAGTCACGTTGTAAGGGAGGTGGCAAACGATGAAAACCACGACAACTGCCAAAATCACCCGGACGGCCTTGTGCCTCTGACTGCTGCTGGTTCTCAGCAAGGTGTGCGCAGTGCACGAGTAGCAGAACAGCATCACCAGGAAAGGAAAGATGAATCCAACGGCCATCTGCAGGCTGGGCACCATCACCTTCATCAGCTTCGCTGTGTTGTTGTCCTCAAAYGAGAGCTGACACGTCACAGTGAAGGTTTCACCCACTGATTCAGACTTTGTATAGTTCTGCTCTTCTAACAAATCTGAGTAGTTCTGTTCTTCAAACACCTCGGGGTAGATTTGTTCTTCGGTGCGCTCGGTGTAGATGAGTGTTGGCAAAGTTAAARCCACCGCAAACGCCCAGACAGCTGAGCAGATCACGCGGCCGTACGTCAAAGTGTGAGAGCGAGAGCCGAAGGTGCGTCGAGCGTGAACTATGGCAACGTAACGGTCGGCGCTGATGCACGCGAGCAGCAGCATGCCGCTGTACAGGTTGACGCTGTAAGCGGAACGAAGGACCTTGCAAGCAACGAACCCCATGGGCCACTTTTCCTGCTCGTTGTAGATGATGAGAGGCAAAGCCACTACAAAGATCAAGTCGGCCACAGCCACGTTAAACAGGTAAACATCTGTCATTGTCTTGGTTCGCTTGTAGAAGCCGTAGGTGATCATTACGAGAACATTGCCGATCAAGCCAAAGATGCAGATGATGGAGTGGATGTAGGTTTGGGACAGGACTTCTGCTGGGTGAGGGTTGAGGTTGCAGAGCTCCTCAAAAGGCCCATCTGTAGACCCACTGGTGAAGTCAGTTACATTCTCCATGTCTTCAGTCTGGAGAGGAAAAGAGTAGAGGTGTAAATTAAACGATACGTTTCATGCTTTTTTATCCTTTTTTGCATTTAATTCATTCAGTTGGGGTCTATATAAGCTGGAACTGGAACTCCACAAGCCCCTCTTTCACCTCTTTTCTGAGGTGTATCTCAGAGCAACTCGTTTTGAGGCTGTCTCTTTAAATCCAAACGAGGTGCTTCACAACCGGCCCACCTCTAGCTGCCAGACTGGTCCATTCCAGCTTGATAGAGGGGTTTAAGACTATATAGCGGCGCAGAAACGTTTTATTTACAAATTAATTAAAAGATGTCAACACTGGAAGACTTGAGCCAGAGTCTGAGCCAGAGCCAGAGCAGAACGAAGACCATTAAATTGTAGTGGGTGTTAATATTTGAGGTCAGGCTTAAAACATTCACTTGTGCCAAAGGTTACAGTTATGGCTGGTTTGAATGAGCCACGTCTATAGCTGCTATTGATCCAGACTGCTGGGAAATCTGATGCACTGATCACCTTCACTTAATTTTTCTCTCATATCTTTACCGTTGTTAACTGTAATTTTTCTGTTTTTATCAACAGGTATGTTATTCATTAGGGGTGCAACGATACAGAAGATTCACGATTCGGTTCGGTCTGATACTTTAGTCTCACGGTTCGATATTTTTTCGATACAAAAAAAGAGAAATTTCCGTGGCCTTCATAACTTATAATTTGTTTAAATTAATTATGAACATTTGTTTAACCTCAAAAGTACAGTTTTTAAATTAAATGTTGGTGAAACATCAAGTTTCTCAGTGGATCTGTGCTCAACAATGCAGCCTAGGTGGAGTAGTCTAACACAGATCTACTGAGCATTCAACACAGCACAGCTTCAKAAGACAAGCAGATAAAATAAATGTTATAAATCTGTATTGTTCGATACAAATGTGTATTGAACCTAAAGCACTGTATTGAATGGTTCGATACGGGTACATGTATTGTTGCACCCCTAGTATTTATAGCCAAATGTTTCAGTTTGTTGTGTCTTTCTTGTCCTCTCAGCCTCAGCCAGTCAAGACAGTTTGTCACTCATCCTGTGTCTTGATTTTGCTGTAAGTTTCTTCTCATTAAAGAGGTATTATTACTCTCAAYTGTCACCCCTCAGCTTGCTTACGTTTGAAGCAACACAACACTCTAATTTCACATAATAATAATTACATTTTATGCCTGTTTTTGTGCTCATATGTAAAACATTTGAATTTGTTAAGCCAATGTATGTTTGTTAAAGAAGCAAGATCAAGATTTTAAATGAAATGTACAATCTAAACATGTTCCACTTAAAAAAAAAACAAGCAGCACAAAAAACCCCTTTCAGAGAAGTTCCCACATGAAAAAAGAGCAAAGGTTGTACAAAAACCAACCTGAAAAAACACTTTGGGTAACATTTGCAGGTACTGGGTAAAAAACCTTATCTCTGTGTTTTATCTGTTTACATGATACAAACCAGTGTTCTACTTCTGTTTTTCACCTTTTTTGTCAATGACCCAGTTTTAGCTCTGACAACTGCACACAAAAGTAGGCAGCAGGTTGCTGCTGCCTGAGTGTTTTCTGATCTTAATAAGAGATAAAACTCTTATCAGACAGGATCTGAGATGTTTTACTGGAAGATGAAAATTCAGCTCACAACAAACTCCTGCAGACCAGCAGGTTGGGAGCTTTTATCTGCAAAAGTGCTGATTTTCACAAGTTACAGGATGCACATTTTGTTTTTTTGTTTTTTGAGTTTGTCTTTTTATAGTGATGAAATGCAGAAAGGCTTTTGTTGAACCAAAAATGCATCTTAATGAAGGTGTTTTTAGTGTTTCCCTTTTGTCCTCTTAGATTTTCAGTCAGATTTTTTTTCTAATATTGCTGGAAAAAAAAAGATTTGCACAGGTGTGTGCATGATGTGTTGAAGAAATAGTAAAATAAGAATAAACTTCCCCAAACCTGCTGCCAATCTGAACTATCTGAAAAAATAAATGAATTGATATGAGATTGGATTGTATTTTTCTGACATTTATTTAGTTACTGAATCCCCTTTCAGGTTCTGCTATCAAATTTCTGTTCCGTATAAGTTTAATGTAACCTGTAACTTGAACACCGAAACGTTTTCACCTTGCAAACAAAACACGCTCAACAAGATTTTTTTTTTTGTTCCGCAGTTGATCAGGTTTTCTATTTATTGAGTTACATTAAATGTAGAACATGCACAGACAACATGTCTGCTGCTGGCATTCACCGACATATTGGCTGATTTTTATTTAAGCCGTTTTGTATGAACCTTTTTTTCAAACTAAAAGACTAAAAAACTCTTCCGGGCAGGTTGATTAGAGTTTATGTCTAGAATCTATTTCTACCTAAGCTTCTTAAAAATCTTGTTAAAAACAGAACAAGGTAAAACATCTCTCACTCTGAGAGAAAGCAGAAGGTTTTTGTTATTAACGTATGCAGAGGGTCTCAAACTGGGGTCCCACAACCCCCACGGGTCTGCGAGCTGAGGCTTGCGGGTCCTCAAAAAAATTACAATAAGTTGTTGATTTTGTTTTTTTTTTGTTTTGTTTTGTTTTGTTTTGTAGCATTATATGTGGAACAATCTGCAAGCAAAGCAAACAAAAAATCTACTTATCACAATGGTATTTAGGGGTTAAAATGATTTTTAAGTCAGCACGAGCTTTATTGGGGGTCCCTGGAAATGTTTCACCTTTGTAAGAGGCCCCCAGACCCAAAACATTTGAGAACCCCTGATCTAGAGAAATTATAAAGAGGTATAACTTTTTGTTTTTTTACAGAAAACTAGCGTTAGTTAGTGTAAGTTAGGGGTAGTTAGGGTTCTCTGCCAAGTTCTGCAAAATTATTCAATTGTTATTATTTTACAC